TCCACCGAAAAGCAAACTCATGGGAAACCGAACCCTTTCAAATAACAGGCAGGGACGCTGTGTGGGGCCCTGCTTTTTCACACGAACGAACAAGCCCCAGAAGTAATCCTAAACCCCCATAAGCGCTTCAACCCCTAAGCCGCCATGAACGAAGGCGCGAAACCCCTAAAACCCTAAATCCTAAAAACCCTAAAACCCCTCTACCCTTGAGCCTTAAACCCGTAGCCGTAGACGAATACTAAACCTGTAACACCCCCTCTAGACCCTAAAACCCTGCAAGCCTTAAACCCTGAACCCTAAAAGCTAAAACCTCTGTACCACCCCACCCCAAAAAAAGATCTTAAAACCCTTCAATTCTCAAAGCAGTAGATGAAGCCTGAACGCGAACGAACACAGAAACCCAAAGGATCCCTAACCAAAAAGCCTTTGAAGAGCACTACAAACTTACCTCTCCCAAAACCTAAGGAAAAGTCTTAAACTTTATCATTCCGACTAAGTAAGGAAAACCCAACATCTCAAAGTTCTACTATTGGCTAAGTAAGAAAACGCCCTAAACCCCAATTCCCAAACCCCAAACCCCAAACCCCAAACCCTAAACCCTAAACCCTAAACCCTAAACCCTAAACCCTAAACCCAGACCCTCAGGGGTTCATTGAGTCGCCAAGGTGCTGTGCAGCTCCTCGATGAAGTTTTGCGAGGCCTCGGCTTCGCAAAGTTTGGGGTTTAGGGTTTAGGGTTTAGGGTTTAGGGTTTAGGGTTTAGGGTTTAGGGTTTAGGGTGTGGGGTTTGTGGTCATAGGGTTTGGGGTTTGGGGTTAAAGGGTTTGCGGTTTAGGGATATAGAGTTTAGGGTTTGGCTTTCGGGTTGGGGTTTAGGGCTATAGGGTTTGGGGTTTAGGGCTTAGTGCGCGATATATCGGGGCCTGGTTCATGAGATTGTGGCGACGAGCGGAGTAGCATTGTTCAGCGGCTATCAACAGCTATATTTAGGCTCCGTTATTAGGGCTGAGAGTTGAGATGGGGTTTGTACGCCTGAAAAACTAGATCGGAGCTGCATCTTCGGGTTTAGGGCTTAGATGAGAAATGAGCCCCCGCAACAGTTCGACCACCGTTCCGATACTGACACCCTCCAGCAGATAGGCGACACTGAACTGAAGCAGGGAAGCATGTGCATACGTTTGAGTTCTCCAAACTCCAAACTCCTGAATCGCATGCCAGAACCCAAAGACCAAAACCTTCCCCCAGACAGTCCATTTGTAGAACCTTTCTGGGATTCGGTACCTACGTATACCAAGCCCTATTATTTCGTATGGCTTTTCAATACCTGATAATTCCACAGTAATAATACAATCCTCTGGGTATCGTAAACTCCCATCCCCCACCACTCTTTTCAACCCTCAACCCTCAACCCTCAACCCTCAACCCTCAACCCTCAACCCTCAACCCTAAACCCTAAACCCTAAACCCTAAACCCTAAACCCTAAACCTAGCTGGGAGAGCCGACGAGGAGGCTGTCCTGATTGACGCCCAGGTATGGCGAGTCACCCTCCTTTTATAGGGTCCTTAAGGGAGGGGGGGGGGGGTCATGGGGGGTAGGTACGGCAACCTTAATTTGGGAAGCTTTGGGAGCCGTAGGGAGTAGTGGGAAGTGTTGGGGGACCTTGGGTACACACCTCTCCCTTTGAATCCGCCCTCCCTCAAGAACCCTATAAGCCTTTCACGGCTCAGGAGCGGAGCGTGGTACTGTGCTTTTTGGGGGGGCCTAGGGGTCCATGTACCGCATTACAGTATGCTTGGGCCGCAAAGTCCCTATGTAGCAAGTACTTTACGGCCCAACCGAAACCCTTAACCCTTAACCCTAAACCCTAAACACTTAACCCTATACCCTAAACCCTTATATATGGTTTTGGGAAGAAACCTATAAACCTTAAACTCATGCCAAGGCCTTCCCCTTGCGTGGGGGCCTACAGACCCCAAAACCAGGGCCAGCGATTTCTAGGCCTTGGGGCTTCTAGTTTCGGGGCCACGCAGAGTTTCGGGTTTGGGGGCTTACCCTAAACCCTAAACCCTAAGTCCTCTACCGGAAGAGTACGAAATCCAAGTTCATAGCTACACTAAGGGTCCATATGTACCTCATTATCATAGACTTGGGCCCCAAAGTCCCTATATAAGAAATACTTTTAGAAATACTTTAATTTAAGGCCCAAGTATGCCCTAGGTACATGGACCCTTAGGGGTAGTTATAAATGCCTTAACGAAGGATATCGGGGTTTCCGAAAGTCGGTGTACCGTATTTGGTTCCTTAGAAGGGAATCCTACTATTGGGGGGGTCGGGGGGGAGGGGGGGTGCTATTACAGTACTATAGGGGTCCCTCCTTTTCGTACACTCCCAGATAATACAGGTTGCCTTACTTACAATTCTACTTGCAATACCATGAACCTTCAAGTAAACTAACAAGTGGGCGGCTCCGGGAAGAGAACATAAGGATACTCTCCTAGTGACGTATGTGTAGGGTTTAGGGTTTAGGGTTTAGGGTTTAGGGCTTAGGGTTTAGGGTTTAGGGTTTAGGGTTTAGGGTTTAGGGTTTTAGGGTTTAGGGTTTAGGGTTTAGGGTTTAGGGAGCCTGCAAACTCACCAGATGTACTCCTCAGTAGGCCTTGAACCTTCCAGCCCTAAACCGTGAACCGCCGGGCCGAGCGCCCAAGCTCTGCGCCCAAAACCACAAGCTTAGGGTTAGGACTTAGGGCTTCGGGCTTAGGGTTTAGGGTTTAGGGTTTAGGGTTTAGGGTTTAGGGTTTAGGGTTTAGGGTTTAGGGTTTAGGGTTTCGGGTTTAGGGTTTAGGGTTTAGGGGAACCCAAAATTTTGCAGACACGAGGATGGCCCTGAAAACCCTCTGAGACCAATTTCCTGAACATGAGCCTCTTCAACCCAATAAGGGAGGAATACAAAATGTCCCAAGGGCCTACCTAGGACATAAGCCCTAAACCCTTGAACTGAACCCCAAAGCTGAAGTGGCGGTCCGAAATTCAGAGTTAGCACTCGTTTCAGAGGCCCGTCTCGGTTGAGGTTTGGCGCGTACGTACTTGCATCATTTGTGACAGACCCTAAACCCTAAACCCAAAACCCTAAACCCCTAAACCCCTAAGCCCCAAACCCTAAACCCTAAACCCTAAACCCCAAAACCCCAAACCCTAAACCCTAAGCGTGCACATGCAAGTTGCATCCCAAAAACCCTAAACCCCTAAACCCCAAACCCTAAACCCTAAACCCTAAACCCAAAAACCCAAAAACCCAAAAACCCTAAACCCTAAACCCTAAACCCTAAACCCCTAAACCCCTAAACCCCTAAACCCCAAACCCTAAACGTGCACATGTAAGTTGCATCACAGAAGTTGCAAGGCTTTTGGCTTCTATGACATGAAGGCCACTTGCTAAAGCAAGAAGAAAAACTCTGCGACCTAAACCCTAACCCCTAAACCCTAAACCCTAAAGCCCCGAATCCCAATAAATCCTCGTCGTCGAGGCGGGCGCAGCGAAGGAAAGGCTCTATCAGCCACATGGGGAGCACCTCGGGGAGCTCCGGGCACTACTCAAGAAAAGCCCTCTGTTGTGCTCTAATAGACCTAAACCCTAAACCCTCAACCCTAAACCCTAAACCCTAAACCCTACATCCGGCTGGCTTGAGGGTCTGGGATTAAGGGAAAAGGGAGCCTTTGGGAGTCACACGTTCCTGAGCCTTTGGACCTGGGAGTCCGGCCAATGGTTAAGGGTTTAGGGCTTAAACCCAAGGGATGGTTCGAGGTTGCGGATGTTTCCAGTCCTAAACCCTAAACCCTAAACCCTAAACCCTAAACCCTAAACCCTAAACCCTAAACCCCAAAACCCCAAAACCCCAAGACCCCAAGACCCCAAAACCCCAACCCCAAACCGCAGCCAGATCACCTCCGAAGGCGCCAGCTGGCACACTTTGTTGCCGGAGCTCTTTGTCAACAGCCGTGCCACTTGGGGAAGGTCTAAACGGGCTTGCGTGTATGCTGGGGAATAGTTGGGACCTGCTCCCTCCAGGTCCCTGTATGACAATCGGTATGTGGGCTGTTCGGGGTTAGAGTGTAGAGTTTTGGGTTTCAGGCTGCTCTCTGGCGCGAAGTTGTGAGAGAAGAGTCGTGATGTTTCCTGACCATATCCGAAAAACTTCCCTGAACCCTACTTCCATGAGCCTAACAAGGGCTACCTGCTACCTACTAAAATTGCCCTCTTTAACCCTAAACCCTAGTACCTCATGAGTCTAACGAGGGCAGTCCAACCATGTTGGGCATGTTCGCTCGAGCCAACGCAGCCGCCGCAGATCAACTATCGGCCGAGTGCAGGGGATGTACCCTCGGCCCTCGAATTTGTGTAGAGGTGAGGACATAACCCTAAACCCTAAACCCTAAACCCTAAACCCATGAAGTGGAGAAGGGCCCCCAGAATCGCAATTCAGAGAAGAAAATTCGGGGCCCACAACTCCCAAACCTCCACACCAATTTGAAGGCTTAAGGTTAAGGCTTTACGGTCTCAATCCTACACCCTGAACCCTGAACCCTGAACGCTGACCCCAGAAAACCCTACACCCAATTCAATGAGTGTCGAAGCCTTAGGGGGTTGGGGGGTTGCAATGTTACAGCTGCGGGCTTAGGGCTTATAGAGCTTATATAATCCTGATACCAGTATCTAAGGCCCGCAGAAAGCTACAAGAAAGACGGGTTCCCTTGCTTGGGTCTAGGGTTTAGGCTTTAGGGTTTAGGGCTCAGGGTTCTGAAATGGTCACTAAGAGGCCCCACCCTTGGCAAAAAGAGGGAATCAGGCTTGAGAGAGGCGTGTACTCCCAATCCATGTGCCAGGAATGCGTTGCTGAAGAAACGGTCGAGTCACAGACCTATTGTCGTGCTATCCTTTGCGAATGAAAACTTACACTCCAAACCCTTAACCCTTAAGCCCCATCCGCAGCACTCAACAGGGCCTTTCCCATCGAGCCCTTGTCGGCGCCCTGTGCGTGGGTTGAGCGCAGGGGCAACCTCAATCCCCCAAAGGGTAGGGTTTAGGGTTTATAGGCGTCACACTCAAAGAATCGCACGACCCTAGAAAGTAAGCACTTAAGGCAACGTGGCGTCATAGAGGGTTGTTGAAGTTAGGTCGTCCAATACCCATATCACAATAAAGGAACCACCCTAAACCCTAAAACCTAAACCCTAAACCCTAAACAACCCTTGCGAGGGGTTGGTTGCTTTCGAATAAGGGAAGGCCGGGCTCAAGGGACCCAAAACCCAGATCTAAACCCAGATTAAAACCCTAAAACCCTAAAACCCTAAAACCCTAAAACCCTAAAACCCTAAAACCCTAAAACCCTAAAACCCTAAAACCCTAAAACCCTAAAACCCTAAAACCCTAAAACCCTAAAGCCCTAAGCCCTAAACCCTAAACCCTGAACACACCCTGGGCCAAAAAAATGGTTGACCTTTCAGTTATGGTAGGATTATATATACCCCAAAAGGTTACAGGTTACCTACTCAGCTACTAAGAAACGCACCTCAAACCCACCCGAAAGTCTGGGTCCCCCTTCTACTTCTTTGTCGCTTCTAATATTTTCGGGCCTCTATCCCCTTGTAGAAACCAGGATGAGCCCTGGAAAACGAGTTTTTCGCAGCAACCTGGCACCCCCCAAAAGAAAGGTGCCTCGCTTTGACATTTTGCCAAGAACCCTCGGGAGTTGGGCTCTCGCTGGGGGTGCCAAGCGGGTTTAGGGTTTAGGGTTTAGGGTTTAGGGTTTAGGGTTTAGGGTTTAGGGTTTAGGGTTTAGGGTTTGGTCTGCGAGGATTCTTGGCGGTGGGCCACGGGACGCTACTGGACAGGGGGAACCTGCAAGGGCTTTTTCAAGCTGATCATAAGGATCCATTTACCCGTATAGTATATACTTGGGCCGTAAAGGGGTTCCCCTAAACCCTAAACCCTAAACCCTAAACCCTCTATACTAGCTTTAGGGCCCAAGAATATACTATATGGGTACATGCATCCTTAGGCTTAAAGCACCTCGACCTATTCAGAATATGTAGAGGGACACGTCCAACCGTCTACCCAGGCACATGCTCATCAGGTCCCTTACTAATCTTTGTTGAATGTCATGACATAAATACATATATATACACACATAGGGATCTGAGATGATGAATTACTGTGCAAGAAATTACTGAAAGCATGTAGCTACTGTTTCGGGTTGGAACCTGTTCGTCTCTTCTGGTTCTTAGATCAAGCCTCAGAAGCACTGTACATAGCGGTGAAAACCAGAGTAGGATCCCCTCATAAGATGCTAATAAGCATGTATTAGAACCGTATGGACTATAAAAACAAAATCCCAAACAAACAAGTGTCTGCAGCTCCCCCTCCCAAACCCTTAGCCCTTCAGCCCTAAACCCTGATTAGCCCAACACCCGAACTCTGCGTGAAAGCCGGGGATAAGGGGCAAGACCCCAAAATCCTAAACCCTAAACCCTAACCCCTAAAGCCCTAACCCTGAACCCTGGATATTCGGGTTTGGGGCATGGCCTGGTTAGTATATGGGCCAGTCTGACTAGAATGGGCTTTTCTTGGTAGTTTAGGGTTTAGGGCTGTGAATTAGACTTGAATCGTAAAAGGTTCAATGAGAGGAAAACCTTGGCAGTTGCTAGTGGCTCCTGTGATTTTCAGCAACGCCCGCTCTCGGGAAAGCCGACATACCCTAAACCCTCAGAACAAGTATCTGTAGCTTCGGGATGACCTGGATTTAAGATGCAGGATAGTACAGCTGATCTTGTACGGCACTGCTGTCGCCTCCGTATGCAGCAGTGCCCCAGGTCACCACAGATCCGGTAGCCGAAATCGCAGCAAACGCTCCATGAGAATCTTGCACGTGCTGCACGTTCTTGAGCTGATCTTGTACAGCACTGCTGTCGCCTCCGAAGAAAGCAGGGCCCCAAGTCACCACAGATCCGTCAGCCAACATCGCAGCAAACGCGCCATAAGAAGCTTGCACCTGCTGCACGTTCTTGAGCTGATCTTGTACAGCACTGCTGTCGCCTCCAAAGCCAGCATGGCCCCAGGTCAACACAGATCCATCAGCCAAAATCGCAGCGAACGCCCCGTGAGAAGCTTGCACCTGCTGCACGTTCTTGAGCTGATCTTGTACAGCACTGCTGTCGCCTCCGAAGCAAGCATCGCCCCAAGTCACGACAGATCCATCAGCCAAAATCGCAGCAAGCGCCTCTGAAGCAGCTTGCACCTGCAGCACGTTCTTGAGCTGATCTTGTACAGCACTGCTGTCGCCTGCGTATTCAGCATCCCCCCAGGTCACCACAGAACCATCAGCCAAAATCGCAGCAAACGCATCAATTGAAGCTTGCACCTGCTTCACGTTCTTGAGCTGATCTTGTACAGCACTGCTGTCGCCTCCAAAGTCAGAATGGCCCCAGGTCACCACAGATCCATCAGCCACAATCGCCGCAAACGCGCCATCAGAAGCTTGCACCTGCTGCACGTTTTTGAGCTGAACTTGTACAGCACTGCTGTCGCCTCCAAAGTCAGCATCGCCCCAGGTCACCACAGATCCATCAGCCAAAATCGCAGCAAACGAATCACGAGAAGCTTGCACCTGCTGCACATTCTTGAGCTGATCTTGTACTGCACTGCTGTCGCCTCCGAGGTCAGCATCGCCCCAGGTCACGACAGATCCATCAGCCAAAATCGCAGAAAACGCCTTTGTAGAAGCTTGCACCTGCAGCACGTTCTTGAGCTGATCTTGCACAGCACTGCTGTCGCCTCCAAAGTCAGCATCGCCCCAGGTCACCACCGATCCATCAGCCAGAATCGCAGCGAACGCCTTTGTAGTAGATTGCACCTGCTGCACGTTCTTGAGCTGATCTTGTACGGCACCGCTGTCGCCTCCAAAGTCAGCATTGCCCCAGGTCACTACAGATCCATCACCCAGGAGAGCAGCACAGGCGCAGGCAGAAGAGCAGCTGCCGCCTTGTGAAGCTCTGATTTGAACCTGTCCGACATGCAGGGTCAGCACGTCATTATCTTGTAAACGCGCTCGCTTCACTGTGCCTCCGGCCAGCGTCTCACCAGAAGTCAGCAGCCTTCCCTTGCCAACTCGTAGTGCACGCTGGGCTCTTTGGCACAGGCAGGTGACGGACTCTTCTGGCTCCGTCGCCAAAGTCACGCTTGCGCCGCTCAGGAGGTGCACATGGACTGAAATCGACATGAAAGGGACCCTAGTGTTTGGAGCTATGTTGGGCCAAGGGGGCTGCGGTTTAGGGTTTAGGGTTTAGGGTTTAGGGTTTAGGGTTTAGGGTTTATTTAGGGTTTAGGGTTTAGGGTTTAGGGTTTAGGGTTTAGGGTTTAGGGTTTAGGGTTTAGGGTTTAGGGGTTTACGGTTTAGGGTTTGGGGTTTGGGGTTTAGGGTGTAGGACTCAGGATCCTTACTAAGAGTCCTCCCAGCATCGCTAAACTTGGGCACCGGGGGAAAAAGGGACGCCTTTGGCCCTTCGCCGGCTTTGGCCCCGGCGGGCGGCCTGGCAAATTCTTGGGGCTCCCTTCATTCCAGAGATTAGGGTTTATAGGGTTAAGGGTTTATAGGGTTTAGGGTTTATAGGGTTTATAGGGTTTATAGGGTTTATGGGGTTTATAGGGTTTATAGGGTTTATAGGGTTTATGGGGTTTATAGGGTTTATAGGGTTTATAGGGTTTATAGGGTTTACAGGGTTTACAGGGTTTATAGGGTTTATAGGGTTTATAAGGTTTAGGGTTTAGGGTTCGGGGATATTCTTTGGGCTCCCAGAATTCCAGAAATTGGGGTATGTGGGGTTTTGGGTTTTAGGGGTTTAGGGGTTAGGGGTTTAGGGCTTAGACTTTTTCGGGTTTAGGGCCCATATCGTAGCAATTCAGGAAGTCTAAGGTTTGTGACTTCAAAAAGGGCGGGTTTAGGGTTTAGGGTTTAGGGTTTAGGGTTTAGGGTTTGAGGCCTAAAGTTTAAAGTGTTCCTGGAAAATCGCAGCCTTAGACCTTGGCAGCATGGAACAGAAGGGACGGCATGCCTAGGGTTTAGGGTGTAGGGTGTAGGGTTTAGGATTTAGGGTTTAGGGTTTAGGGCTTAGGGTTTAGGGTTTGGGAGGCCACGAGGGCTTAGAGTCCGGGGATTAAGGTTTGAGGTCTAGGGTTTAGGGTTTGGGGTTTGAAGCTTTGGGCTCTGGGTTTAAGAGCCTAAGCTTAAGGCTTCCGCTGTTGAACTCAGTATCTAAAACCCTAACAGTAAACCCTACCACCCTCGATTCTCTGTCAATCAAAACCCTAAACCCTAAACCCTAAACCCTAAACCCTAAACCCTAAACCCATTATCCTAAAACCCTAAACCCTAGACCCCAAAACCGAAGGGTAGCCACAAGATAGTGGGATGAGTCCTCCACCCGAAGCGTGCCCCGAACCTCCCAAACCCCCTTGAATTCAGGGCGCAGTAAGGCTAAGGAGTTAGGGTGTAGGGTGATTTGTGGGTTAGGGTTTAGGGTTTAGGGTTTGGGGTTGTTTAAGGCTTAGGATTTAGGGTTTAGGGCTTCTGGAAGTTCAACCGTGTCTTTAAGACTCAGGGCTGAGATCTTAGGGTTTAAGGGTTTAAGGGTTTAAGGGTTTAAGGGTTTTAGGGTTGAAGGGTTTAAGGGTTTAAGGGTTTAGGGCCAGGGTTTTACGGTTCAGCAAGTAGATTTCTTGCAGCCCCCTTTAGACAACAGGAGAATTCTGATGGCCCCTCAGAGAACTGAGCCCACTGTAGCCATAAGACGTATGGTGTTTTAGAGCAATAAACCTTAAGTGCCAAACCCTAAACCCTAAACCCTAAAATCCGAAACCCCAAAACTCTTGCCACGCTCTGGCCTCCCAGGCCAGAAGCCTACGCCTTAAACCCTAAACCCTAGATGGCGGTTTCCGAAAAGAGGGTTTAGGGTTTAGGGTACCCTTTTTGGGGGTCCCTTCTATTGGGGGTATAAACGGGGTAACCCTAGTTTAGGCAATACCCTCAATCCTGAACCCAGAGTTTGGTGTCGAGGGTACCAATATGGGGTTTAGGGTTTAGAGTTTAGGGTTCAGGGTTTAGGGTTCTTTGGGGGGGGGGGGGGGGGGGCACCCAAATCAACCCCCTGTAGAACGGTCGGCTGAGAGGCTTGTTGACTGAGAGGATCGCTGGGTCGTTGATCTCAGCTGGGCCCAAACCCGAAACACACAAAATCCGGCACTCAGAAAAACTCCCCCGAAACCCTGGACCCTAAACCCTTAACTCTGAATCCCTACAGCCCTCCAACCCTAAGCACGAAAGCCCCAAACACCAAACTCTAGGTAAGAAACCAAACTCCTCACCCTAAACCGTAAGCCCTAAACTCTAAACCATTTTTGTAACGATGCAAGCACAAACCCCAGACGGTTCCGAATCTTGTGAATGGCCTCGTTCTTCGTTAGGGTGTAGAGTTTAGGGTTTAAGGTTTTGCCCCTAAACCCTAAACCCCAAACCCTACACCCTAAACGCCAAACCCTAAACGTGCTTCGCTCTTTAGCTTGTGCACCGTTGCAATGGAACAAAAAAGACTTGGTATGAAGTGAACGAGCATACCCTAAGGGTCCATGTACCTAAGTAATACTCGGGCCTTAAAGACTTCCTATACTGGGACTTTGGGGCACCAAAATATAGTAACGATGTGGGACCCTTAGGGCTTTAGGGTTCAGGGTGTCGGAGTCTAAGGCCCCTTGTTACAGACACCCGTCTTTGATGACGACCAGAAACAAAGGGTGAGTTTAGCATGTTGTGTGGGTTTTCATGTGACTTTTGATTTGGCCTCATGCAAACACGTGCTTCATTTCGCCTCTTACAAGCTACAACCGCAAAGGAACTCCCTAGACCTCCTTAGTAGCCCAGTAGCCATATTACAATAAGGGCACCCCTGGTTTTTGGTTGGCTACGTTCTAAGGGAACCCATAACCAAAAAAGGGCAGGTACTGCCGGGCTACTAAGCCTATGATTCTGAGCCCTAGACCAGTCCGTAGAGGCTGAGGGCGCAACGGCCGGACTGCTCCCAGATTCCAGGACCGTGAGGTCCTTAATGTCCTGTAAGGGTTTAGGGTTTAGGGTTTAGGGTTTAGGGTTTAGGGTTTAGGGTGCACGGTGCACGGTGCAGGGTTTAGGGTTATATGGGTTTTGGGGTTCAGAGGTTGTGCGTTTGTCGAATGCTTCGCGAGACGCGCGATGTGCAGCTATGGCCGATTGAGAAGGGCCATCAGACAGCATGGTCAACCCCGCGCCATCTTCGGAGGCTCGAAGCCTCTTCCTTGTCAGGATCCATGTACCTCATTACTATATGCTTGGGCCCTAAACCCTAAACCCTAAACCCTAAACCCTAAACCCTAAACCCTAAACCCTAAACCCTAAACCCTAAACCCTAAACCCTCCCCAAAGTCCTGCATAGGAAGTACTTTAAGGCCCGAGTCTTCCCTATTTGTGTACAGGGTAACCCGAAACCCTAAACGGCCCTGAACCCTAAACCCTAAACTCTTAGGGTTACATTTCGCTAAGCAATTTAGGCCGAAACCCAAACCCACCTAGAACTCCTCAAGCTCCAGTCTGGGGTTGGGAAGAGACTAAAGGCGCTTGCTTGCAACATCGTTCTTAAACACACCGAAGCCCCCTAACCCAGTCCTGAGTTCACCATAGACCCTACACCCTACACCCTGAACACTGAACCCTAAACTCTAAACCCTAAACCCTAATCCCTAAACCCTGAACCCTGAACCCTAAACCCTGAACCCTAAAACCCTAAACCAAACTTGCCCTGGCAAACTCCGTCGACAGCCTTTCCATGGCAGAAGTTGCCAACCGGTTTCTATATGGTGAGTTCTCTGAATTAAGGGTCTTTTTTGGGGTTCCTATTCTAAGGCGGCCCCGAATCGTTAGGGTTCCCAACAAAGGCCCCCTCATAAAGAGAACTCAGCATATAGTAGCTACTTCGTGCCAAGTATGGACTCGAGGGGTACGTGGGCCCCTAATCCATGCCCACCTCTCTGGCCAATCATTACCCTTAGGACATCTTAGCAACTCAGTTCTAAATTCTCAACCTAAACCTAAGCCCTAAACTCTGAATCCCTAAGCCCTAAATCCTAAACCCTAACCCCTAAACCCTCAGCCCTAAACAGATCCTACAGCACGCAGCTCCTGACCCCTAAAGATGATGAAGTCGTAGACTTCGTTGGAGGGAGGTACCTCTGGCCTCGCGCAGCGATTAGAGTGTTTAGTGCTAGAGGGCTTATAAACCTGAACGAGGGTTTAGGGTTAACCCTACTAACTCATTAGGGTTGAGATGTTATGGTTTAGGGTTTAGGGTTTAGGGTTGAAGGCCAGCTGGGCACAAAACGATGGAGCGCAAGTCGGGTCAGGCCCCTCTTGAACCTCTTGGCTGGCGCCCAAGAATCGGATCTGAGCTCAGACAGCACACGTCACTACCCCCGGTTTAGCCTTAAACCCTAAACCCTAAACCCTAAACCCTAAACCCTAAACCTGAAACCCTAAACCCTAAACCAATCTAAACCCTAAACCCGTCTCCTGGCCCAGCCAGGCCATCAGCCACACTGCTTCCCCTCGAGTTTCAGTGATGCTGTGGTGGCGAGCCCAAGACGTGTGTCAGAGCGACGCGGAGGGCGTGGCTGAGGTTGGTGCAAACCTCGGTCGCTTTTTCCGCCTTCTTCTCGTGCTTGAATCACACGAGGCGGACTGCTTAGCAGCTGCTTGCAAGTGGCACCTCTTCTTCTTCAGCTTGCGAACTTCACGGGCATCCCACGCATGTGCGCTTTCATCTGGGAGCGGGCTTGCTTCAGCAACGCGAGGCGCTGGGAGATGTCCTGCAGGCAATGGACATGCACTGAAACAGTGCATTCAGACATGGCCCAACGTGTCATTTATGAGGTTCGACGTTTGCGGTGGCAGTCGCTCCTGGGTGTTGGGGGGGTGCAGCCCACCCCCCCCCCCCATTTGCAAGCACAATGCTCGCATGCTTCTATTGGCTTAGGGTTTAGGGTTGTAGAGTTCAGGGCCGAGGCTTATGTCCTCAAGGCTCACATATCCGCCTCTTTTCGACCGTGGGGTGGTTGTTTAGGGTTCGGGGTTTAGAGTTTAGGGCTTAGGGCCTCATAGTATAAAATACCTGACACCCCTAAACCTTATTGTGGTACAATTACTCTCTAATGGCACCTTTCCACAACCTTTCTAAACTTGCGATGTTCCCCTTATACTAAGACTCCTTAAATAGGGATTATCATAATAGGGCTACCATATAATATTTATTAAGGCCTACCATATAATATTTATTAAGGCCTGTGGGGTATAAGGGGGAACAAACCCTTAAACCCCATGGTGGAACCTTCGGTTCCTGTTTAACAAGAACTCGGGATCTTGTTGGTCCTTGAGACTTTCGGGGATGAAGGGTTTAGGAGGTTTCGGTTTAGGGGTTTAGGGGTTTAGGGGTTTAGGGGTTTAGGGGTTTAGGGGTTTAGGGGTTTAGGGGTTTAGGGGTTTAGGGGTTTAGGGGTTTAGGGGTTAAGGGGTTTAGGGGTTTAGGGGTTTAGGGGTTTAGGGGTTTAGGGGTTTAGGGGTTTAGGGGTTTAGGGGTTTAGGGGTTTAGGGGTTTAGGGTTCAGGGTTTGAGGCTTAGTGGCCCTAAATCCAAACCCCACGTCATGACTAAATTGACCCAACATGTCCTGGTGAAGTGTTTCAGCAGCCTTGTCCTCCTCTGTCCGAACCCTACGAGCCCTAAACCCTAAACCCTAAACCCCAAACCCTAAACCCTGAACCCTAAACCCTAGACCCTAAACCCTAGACCCTAAACCCTAGACCCTAAACTTTCAGGGCTCAGTGTACCGGGCCCCCGGACATCTTTCGCCCCTCTGTGCCAAAACACCTCACGGACTGCAGGGCAATGGTCGACTCCTCACAGCTCCCAGGGAGGCTAAAAGCGCGTCACAGATTCAGGGTTTAGGGTTTAGGTTTTAGGGTTTAGGATTTTGGGGTTTAGGGTTTAGGGTTCGTGGTGTAGGGTTTGGGGTTTTGGGTTTTGGGTTGAGGGCCTATGCCAGATCCGCCTAGCCTACCCCCAACGTTGGGCCTTAACCGGAGGAGGGAAGTTAAGGTGGGGGCCTAAACCCTAAACCCTAAACCCGAAACCCTAAACCCTAAACCCTAGCCCTCGACCCTCAACCCTAAGTATAGAATCCAAACCCAATCGAACCATCTCTGTCAGCAAACGCAGTCCATGGCTTCGCGTCAAACGCCCTCTAAAGGATGTGGGAAGTTCCGGTTTTATGGTTTAGGGTTTAGGGTTTAGGGTCTAGGGGAAACACATATATCACTCCCAACGTTAGCACCTCAACGCGAAACTGACTCAACCCAGTATCCCTAAACCCTAAAAGCCTGGAAACTCACATCTAAGTCCGGGTCTGGGGAGTTTAATTCTGGGCCTCATGATGCAAGAGGCCCAACACTTGGGAGTCCAAAAAGTTGAACATATCCTTCCTTATAAGGGTAATGGCATAGGGATTGTGATCTTGTATTTTCGGGGGTCCTGAAGCAAACAGTAGTTGAAGGCAAGAAGACAGAGAAGGACTGAGGGAATATCCCCCGTCGAGATGGGCACGGGTTGAGGGTTTCAGGGTTTAGGGGTTGAAGCTTTTGGGTTCAGAGCTTGAGCGTACCGGAACAGCGGTCCCTCCACAAACGCTGCACGCTACCCTAAACCCTAAACCCTAAACCCTAAACGCTAAACCCTAAACCCTAAACCCTAAATTCTAAGAAACGCCGCTTCGCTCCTCGGTGTTGATGTTGTACAAAACTCCCTCATATCGGATTTCCGACATTGAGACTAGGCTGATCTTGCTGCCGATGTACCTGGATCTGCTGGCACGAAGTCGGGATACTCAACCCCAAGCCCAGAACCCTTCCGACCCTAAGACCTAGACCCCGGAAGCCCTAAAGCCCAGATAACCCTAAACCCTAAACCCTAAACCCTGAACCCTAAACCCTATACCTGGTGCGCCTCTGCGGACCTTCGCCGGTACGCCGACGCTGTGACGCCGACCGGAGCAAGGGGGGTAGGATCGGTGTATCACGACGCAGCAGGGTTTAGGGTTTAGGGTTTAGGGTTTAGGGTTTAGGGTTTAGGGTTTAGGGTTTAGGGTTTAGGGTTTAGGGTTTAGGGGTGGTGGGGGGGAAGGGGGGCCTTATAGGGGTTTGGGGTTCAGGGATTAGGGCATGTCCACGAACTAGCATTATGGTCCCCTTCTTGGGTACCCTAAGTATTCCGGGCCGCCTAATAATAGCAAACCCCAGATGGGACCATAACTTCGAGAAGTGACCACGTAGGGTTTTGGGTTTGGAGTCTATCCTTGTGGCCGCAAAACACCACTGCTTCCCTGAGTTTAAGGTTTAGGGTTAGGGTTTAGGGTTTAGGGTTTGGGGCGTAGGGTTTAGGGCAAGACCACACCCTACAGGGCACGGCGTCGGGTTGCTCGACATGGCCGGAGAATCTCCTTCTCCCGGCGCCTTGTGTCGGAGCAGCTTTTTAGGGTTTAGGAGGGTTGAGGGTTTGGTGGATCAGGAGGGATTAGGGACAAGGTGAAGGGGTTTAGGGTTTAGGGTGAGGGTTTAGGGTTAGGTTTTACGATTTAGGGTTTAGGTGTTGAGTGCTGACTAGGCTTTACAAGGTGAAAACTCAAGGGTTGGAAGTTGGGAGCTCGACTGCTGCGCGCCAGGCTGCCCTAACCCTGAATGGGCCCGAGGTAAACCCTAGACACCAAACCCTGTACAAACCCTAAACTCTATACAAACTCCAACCCTAAACCCTAAACCCTAAACCCGACACCCTAAACCCTAGTTGACCTAAACGCCCTCAGCCAGGCCTGGGACTTGGGCAGTACCTGGTCCCCCCTCGGGCCCCCTGGCCCCGATCTCCTTTTTGAGCCGAGAGCCCACAAGGGGTCCAGAGGTGAGTGGGCATATAGGGGTAGCCCTAAACCCTAAACCCTAAACCTTAAACCCAAAACCCCTAAACTTCAACCCTGAACGCCAAACCCGAAACTCCCTAAGAATCTGGTTCTCAGCAGGGTATGGGGGAATTATATATATATATATATATACAGGTTCCCTACCCCCCATGAACCCCCTCAGGGCAAGACCCCCAAAGTAAGATGGCGTCGTAGGGCTTACCTGCGACCCATGTTCTGACCAGGTTCCCTCTTCAACCCTCCCAACTCGGTTCAGGGTTTAATGTATGACCCTCAAAGCAATGGGGGCCAGGTGCTCTAAATCAGCCCTTCTACAGGGTACAGGGGGATATAAAGTACCAAATTCGAAACCGTTGCGGGATTGTATATAGCACCTTATAATCCAAGCTAGCTACGTAGGCCCCGAAACTACAAAATACTAAACGTCTAAACCCTAAACTCACCTGGGGGGGGTACAAAGCCCCGGCAGCTCACCCGAACATCCTCACATCCCCACATATCCCCACGCATCCTAAAACGAAGCCCTAAACCCCAAACCCCGCACCCCGAGCCCTCTAAGCCAGAAGGTTTAGAAGGCGTCGGGTAAAGGCTTTAGGGTTTCGGGTTTAGGGCTTCCTGAGTCGTATAAGGACTACACGAGGACTACAGCCCCTGAATCCTGATCCCAAAGTCACAATCGCAGCTTTTTGGGGCAGGCCAGCGCTACACAGCATGCAGAGACATGGGAGTTTCGCCGTTGAGCTCAGCAGGCCCGTACTGTGGAGAGGCTTGGGTTAGGACTTTAGGGTTTACGGTGGGGGGTTTAGGGCTTAGGGCTTAGGGTTTAGGGTTTAGGGTTAGGATTTAGGGTTTAGGGTGTAGGGTGTAGGGTTTAGGGTCTCGGGTTTAGGGTTTAGGGGGCTTGGAAGACTGCCAGCCCAGCGATTCTCCCAGGCCTTCGGCCGGCGCCGAAAACTTTGCCCTACCAAGGACTTCAGAGGCCTGGACCCTAAAGTTTTATAAGGGTTTAGGGTTTAGGGTTTAGGGCCCCTAAACCCCGAACCCTAAGTTTAGGGTACGTTGCAGACACCCTCAGTCTCGCATTCTTCCATTGCAATGCTTGTTCTCATCTGTGCCGATGTTCTTCCAGCGATGGCTACCCTTTTCTTGCACGCTGGGCATCGGACTGCTTGGTCCATGGGCACTGCCAGCCCCCACGGGTCGTCGAGGTTCCAAGCGCTGCCAGCCACTGGCTTCAACTTACTTATGTAGGGTTGCAGGGTCTTAAGCCCTGCATTTTCAGAAACAAAACCTCGCCTTCACCTGGCTCAAAACAGCAAGCAGCGCTAATCCTAGCCTGCTTGAAGCTGACCCAAAATGCCTGGCAAGGCCATTTACAGACGGCAGGCTCATCCGAACCGGCCGCCTGAGTAGCGTTGAGACATGGCGCTGTGTATCGATCTTCCTCCGACAGCACTGCGGCAGCTTCTTGGTGCCCCCCACGATGGTACCGGCTGGACGCCTAGGAACCTTGATCCGATCGAGGCACTTGTGGGTAACCACGTGACTCACTTCCTCAAGCTTGCCTGTACGGTGCAGGTTAAGTTATTTGCTCAGTGACGCGACCACCCTCGCCTCCCCCTGGAGGATGTTCAGCAGTGGCAAGCTTCCTGCAGAGCACGCGGGCTGGAAATACACTTCCTAGCGGCAGATTACAAGCCTCATCTGGTTTGGAGCCATAGTCACGCTTGCTGCGGTCAACAGGCGATAGAAGGCAGCATTGCAGGCTGAGAGTCAGGGTCACTGGTTGATTGCACTCCCAGCCACGGAGGGACACGGGTACACGCCCTCCGCGTCACCTCCACCTCAATGGGTACTTACGAAGTCTTCGTGGCCAACAGCCAGTCGCTGGCTTGCCTGCCGCTGCCGATATTAAAACTGCGCTGCCCGCATGGGGAAGAACTGGCGGCGCACAGTGATGCTAGGATGAATGCCCGTCTGCGATTACACGCGAGAGCTGCTCATCAGTGCCATTGAAGGTTTGCCAGAAAGGTATTGGGCGTGAGGGTTTATTAGATGGTGCAGGTTGGGCTTAGGGTACCCAAAATCCCTAAACCCAAGCCCAATCTCTTCCTAAATCTCAAAACCCTGCATCAAAGCGCCTAGCGAGGGCAGGGCAGAACTCACTCAGCTGCTTGTCTTGCGAACCTCAGCACATGACGGAGGAGAGTTAGGGTGTAGGGTTTAGGGTATAGTTTGGGGTTTAGGGTTCAGGATTCAGGATTTAGGGCTTAGGGTTCAGGGCTTGGGGCCAGTTTAAGGTTTACGGCTTTACGGTTGGGGTTCTTGCCGTGTACGGGTTTTGGGGTGGATGCTCAGGGCTCAACGAATTGTAGAACCCTAAACTCTAAACCCTAAGCCCTCTAGGGTTTAGGGTTCAGGGTTTAGGGTTTAGGGTTTAGGGTGTAGCATTGGTCAGCTGAACGCAGTAGTGTGAAGACATGCCCACCCCGAGGCCACCCAAACAATACTCATCACGAAACCAAACCGGAGCCAGCCAAAGCCAAGCCAGCCATTAAAATTTCACATATCGAACATGTTCAGAGCACATTAAGATAAAACACTGCAAATGCTTGGGACATTTGCGAGTCGTGAACTCTTGCCGGACTTGAGGCGAGCTGTTGGCGATTTCTTGGGGGGTCACATGGCACACTGGAAGTCGGAGGTCATCTGGGGCCAGAGGGCACCTGTCCAGCATTGCTTTGTTTGCGGCTTTGAGCCAAGGGTGTCCCTTGCCTTCGGAGGTCACTTGGGGGCAGAAGGCAAAGGACCCCCCCCCCCCAGGTTTTGCGCAGGGGACGGTCTAAGCCGAAGGGCCCTCTCACAGAAAATTCAGGGTGTGAAGAGTCTGCAGGTTTTGCAAGAATCCCCCGCACGCCGAAGCTCACTTGGCCAGAGAACGAAACTCACTAGAGCGGTCAAAGCGAGGGGTCGGACCTTTCAGGGCTTCCTGTCAGCTCCAGGAGCTCCAGGGCCTTCTTTGGCAGCCTTCTGCCCACTGGAAGGGTTTAAGGCCCCCCTGCTTACTGGCACTGCCTGGGACATTTGCGACTTTGAGGGGGTGCCGAGGTTGTCCCTTGATTTCGGAGGTTACTTGGGGGCAAAAAACAAAAAAAAAAAAAAAACCCCTCAGGTTTTGCGCAGAGGGGGCGGTCTGGGCCGAAGGGCCCTCTCACAGAAAATTTCAGGGCGTGAAGAGTCTCCGCAATTGCAAAAATCAGGTTCAGGGCCTTCTTTGGCAGCTTTCTGCCAGTGGAAGGGTTTGAGGCCACCCTGCTGAAGGTCCGACTGGGAGGGTTCAAGGCCGCCAGGGTCAGGGCCAGGCCAGGGCCAGGGCCAGGGCCAGGGCCAGGGCCAGGGCCAGGGCAGGGCCAGGGCCAGGGCCAGGGACAGGGCCAGGGGCAGGGCCAGGGCCAGGGCCAGGGCGGGGGCCGGGGCCAGGGCCAGGGCCAGGGCCGGGGCCGGGGCCGGGCCAGGGGTAGGGCCAGGGGTAGGGCCAGGGCCAGGGCCAGAGCCAGGGCCAGCACCAGGGTCAGGGCCAGGGCCAGGGCTAGGTCAGGCAGGGCCCCAGGGCCAGAACCAGGACCGCCAACCCCAAGCCAAAGCTAGGGCCAGGGCTAGGGCCAGGGCCAGGGGCCGCCAGGAATTGAAAAGGACCCGTTCCTGGGGTTTAGGGTTCTGATATATATCTGAGACGAGCTAGGCGACTCTAGCTAGGCGACCCTCTCAGGAGTGTGCCTAGCAGGCTCTGCAGCCTAGCAGAGCCTGCCGTGGTCTCGCTGAGCGCTCGACTGCGCCCGCCTACCCCAACAGAGGTGAGAGGGGTGGCGGGCGGGTTTAGGGGTTTAGGGTTTGGGAACCCCAAACCCTAAACTCTGAGGCCCAAATCCGGCCTGCACCACCCGCGAGTCATTGCCAAAGCCAGCTATCCGCCTGGCATGAGGGTCCAGGCTATAAGCTGCTGCCTGCAGAAAAGCAAAGTCTGAGCTCGGGGTTTAGGGTTTAAGGATTGAGGGTTTAGGCTGGTCTAGGGTGTAGGGTGTAGGGTTTAGGGCATTGGCTGTAGGGTTAGGGGTTGGTTTCGGGTCTTTGCCTAAACCCTCGAACCCCTTCTAATGGGGAAGCCAGGCTGAGCCAACCTTCAGCCCCACTGAAGCTCCCAAACGCCCAGAACGCAAGCAGCCAGCTTCTGTTTTTTGGAGTGTTTTTTACTGGGGATGTTACAACGGGATTTATAAGGTTATGGCTTGGGTTCGGCCGGTCCACACTAACAGTCAAATAGCGCCGTGGCCTTATAACACACAGGCCAAAAACAGCACCAGGAATCCCAGTCAATTTTAGCATTTACCGGGTGCTTCTTTTTGTGGGTCTGCTGGTGGTGACTGTTAGTCACATAGCAGCAGAAATAGCACCAGAAACAGCACAAACAATAGCACAAAAAATAGCACCAGAAATAGCGCCAGGAATAGCACA